AGAGTTCCACCAGCCTACTGCATGGGGACTTAGCTTCTCCTGTTTTGTTTTTTATTTCATAGTGTGGTGGGATACACTCTGATTTCTGTCTAAATATTGTCATCTTTTTAATGAAATAAAGGAATTACTGTACCTGTGTCTGGCCCTGCCCCTTAGAGTCATAAAGAAGAAACGGTGTATTTGCCTACATGTCCCCCTGGTTAATGACCTGGATGGAGAAGGCTGACAAGCATACTGTGATGTTGTTTCATGTTTTTGTTCTTCCTGTGCTGACATACAGGAGTTGATTTCTCTCAAGTCAAACACTTAAAAGTGGCTTCTGAGGTAATAAAGTTGAGGGTTTTTTTAACATAGGTTACCTGTTTAAATCTTTTATCTAGGATTTCACTCTTTTGTTTGAAAAGTCATTGTAGGTTTGATAGGCATTTTGTTGGTAGCAGTGTAGGTTTAAAGAGCTTTTACTTATTTTGCTTACATTCCACTCTTTCACGTGGCTATGGGAGTGGGCTGCACAATGAACTTGGCTGGGAAACTGATACAGTTAAAAATAATCCTTTTTTATCTGGATATTAATAATTCAGATCAGTTCTGGCATCTAGTTGGCTGTAGTACTCTGCAAATGATGCTATCAGCAACAATGACAGACAGTGACAGGGAATATTTCTAAATCAGCAATGCTATGAAACTATGGCAAAACCTCTTCCTTTCCATTTTTTAAGTTGGAAGGCCCCACCTGGATGCTGCACTGATTATGCTTTGACTCTTTAGTGTCTTTTTCTACTCTCTTTCTTTTTTTTTCTGAACAGATTTTCATTTGCATGCATAACTTATTCCTATATTCTTGTGCTTATAAAACACAAATTTTGAGTTAGTAACAGGGTCTCAACTGCTTGTGGCAGATAAGCATGTTACTGGTGAAAAATCTGGATCCAGATGTGGTAGCTATACGTTTCTAGAGTCAGTCTTAGGTGGACATTTGTAAGTCTGAATGTGAGTATGGCCACTTCTTACATAAGACAGGTGCATTTTTCTGATCCTGTGTTCATTGATAAAGCATAAGTGTGGTGGTCTAGTATGATATCTTTCTGCCGGAAGCACTGGCTGCATGCTTGGTGATGGAGAAAAAGGCTTCATTGTAAACTTGGCCTGAAATGGCTAGAGAACAGAGCACATGAAATCTTTGGGGTCTGTTACCGTCTGCTGCTGCTTCAAAGAGACTGTTACTTGGGTTAATACAGAAGGCTTGTGAGATGGGTGGAATTTTCCTCATTGTTTGGTTTTTTTTTTTTGTTGTTGTTTTGTTTTTTTTTTTGCTTAAAACAAATAAGACCGAAAAGTCTTCAGCATGCTTATTCATGTCAGTTACATAAAAAGGTACATACAGACATATTTTTGCCTTCTGAGTTACTTATCAATAGAATACTGTGGCTTATACATTTTGTAAAATAGAACAGAAGTGTTGCTCAGTATAGTGCAGGTAAGTAGCAGAACACGCAATATAAACATGACGATCTAATGGCAAGAGGTATTTGAGCCATCTAGTGGTTGGTATGAAACATTTTAACATTTTTCAATAGGTTGTAGAAAATGTAAATTACATCGACTTGGAAATAGCATTTCTAATTTGTCCGCATTTTAATAGTGTGGCTGTAGAGTGGAAAAACCCGGGCATTCAACTTCAAATTTGAGGTACAGTCTGCTTCACTCTGCAGCTTTTTTCAATTTACTGTGCATTTTAGTGAAGGGATCTGATAACATAAAAATTATATTAGAAGTTACTAGCCAAAGAGTGAGTTTCGTTAGCATGAGATCTTCAGAAATTTTGAGAGTTATTAGGAAATTCAAGGAAAGGATTGTAAAAAAAAATAATTTTATTCTCTACTTCTGATTGAAAAACGTTTGGAGGGGAAGAAGTGGTCTTGTATTCTATGTCATCAGCTATTTGTAGCAGGATTTTGAATATCAGGGATTAAATTTAAAAAATAATCTTTACTGAAAAACATGGGATAGATATTTTTTTTGTGGTAAACTTGTCCAAATAAATGGAACAGAGGCAATTGAAAACAGTTTTCTTAAGATGGGATGTGTTCCTGATAAAGAGTCACAGAATCTTACAATGTTAAGGAAAAGGTCATTTTGTAGATGAAAATTTCACGAAATGATCCCTCTTGATCCTCATATGCAGTAAGCTGTTCTAGCGTTCATGTCGGCTGTTGCCAATAGGAACTTGGCTACACATTGAACTTGATGGTATTCTGCAATACAGGCAGAAAAGTTAGTTGCTGAAGTACTAAACTTGCTCTGTATCTTGCCTTGAATTATTTGTGGGAAAATACTGCATTCATTGAACCACTATAATATCTTCCAGTCCTTTCAAAAGGCTCATCCAAGTTCAAACCCAGATTACAAGAATATTTTAAAATCTTAATATTAAGACAAATCTAATGAGCAATCAACAAACAGTACTAGTGGTGTTATGTACAGTTAGAGGTACAGAATTTCAGAACATATAAATATGATCCATACTGACATTTCAGAATTTGCACCTTTTACATTTGAAGTAAAATACTACAGAGTCTTAAGTCTTGCCCTGTTTTTATTGAGAAGACAGTGGTAGCTTAACAGATTTTGAAGGTCAATCTCAGATCCTTTGTCAGGCCACATGAGAGAAAAGATGGGAAAACCAGTCACACAACAAAGGACAGAGCAGTAATGGTTGATTTGTATTTTACTGGGGCGGGGACAACCTGATAGCTTCATGTGAATTTGATATATTAATTACATTTGGACGAATTGTCTGCATCTTGGTCCTGTTGTGCCTTGCAAGTTGATTAACTTTATTAGCTACAATAATCATCTGAATCCATAACTCATTTGGACTGTGTATTCTAATATGTTTCAGAAGAGGAAATAAAAATCTTGGAAGATTGAAGAGGTTTTAGTTGTCTGACATATTTTTGCTTGAATTTTGCAGTGTGGTGATGAAGGATTTTTGTTATTACTGTTATTCTCAGTCTTTACAATGATCTAGTCTTGATTGCAGTTGGTGGATTTCTGAGGTAACACTAGACAATTGTGTGCGCTGTATTTTGCAATGTTCCATGTTGCACATGTGAAAAACTCTCTTTCTATCATACTTCATTTAAAATTACTCTTAAACCAAGGTATGTATGCTCAGTTTTTGAGCTTGTCTTCGTTCCTAGTCTGTTGTTGCCAGAGCATGCTTGGAAAGCAGGAAATACATGGGGTACAGAGTTAGATATCTTTTATCTTTATGATGTCCGTGTTGTGTTTTTGTTCAATTAAAAAGGAATGTGGTTTTATGGTAATATCAAAGTGTCATCTTTTATTGTTTATGTGCTCCCCTCTTCGCTCCCCCTGTTAACATCTTCCAGTGCTCTGATTTCCATAGTATTTGGTCATACCACAGCATTTTCTTGGAAGCTGTCCATTGCTGAAGCTATGATCCAGCTGTGTTCATGAAAAGGATCTTTGGAATTTCCCCTGGTTTTAATTTGCATTTAGATGATAATGAAATGGTAATACTGGGTCCTGTTTCTCGTGAATGCTGCTCTTTGTATTGTATTCTGGTCACCAGCTATTTTCTAGGAGAAATCTCATAGAATCATAGCATCATAGAATGGTTTGGGTTGGAAAGGACCTTAAAGATCATCGAGTTCTAGCCCCCCTGCCATGGACAGGGACCCCGTCCACTAGAGCAGGTTGCTCAAAGCCTCATCCAGCCTGGCCTTGAACACCTCCAGGGATGGGGCATCCACAGCTTCTCTGGGCAACCTGTTCCAGTGCCTCACCACCCTCACAGTGAAAAACATCTTCCTAATGTCTAGTCTAAATCTACCCTCTTTCAGCTTATGTACCAAAGGTATTTGGTTATACCTTTTATATTTGGATTGGGTTTAAGGCATAACTAGGATTCCTTTTGTGGTATTCCATAGAAATTTGACTTGTTGAAGAAGTGCGTGCAGGTGGCAGAGGGATTATCTTGAACTGCAGTCTTCAACATGGGAATTTCCATCTCTTATCCATGTGTCAGAGCTTTGTGTTCTTTAGGATTTATCCTTGGTGTCTCAAAACCAGAATTGTAAATAAGAAAAGCCTAAAATTGTGTCAGAGGCAGCATGCACGTGTTGTCTAATGTAAATAATGGAATAACTCTGCTAAATAGAAAACAACACTGCTGTGGCATAACTTTTTAAAGAGAAAAAACAATTTGTTTATTTTTTGTATTTTAGGAAATATGTCATAATTACTCATGGCATTGGATAGTTAAACATTCATTAAACCTCCTCAGTAATGTCACCTTAGAAGCAAATCATACTTTTCAGTGAAAATAAAATGGGAGGGAAGTGGGTTTCCAAAAGGAAAAATGAAGAAATATGATTGTCTTAGGATTGAAGCTGATGGTCTGTATTTTTGGTATTCAGAAAAGTAAAATTTCCTTGAGTATATTTTCAGATTCATATAACTGAAGTTCTGCTTTAGACACTGAAATTAGAGTGTGTAGCTTTGTTTACTTTTATGTGAGTACAAATTCTTATGACTATGAAATGATGTTTGTTTATAAAACATTTTTTATTATATTAAATTGCTAAAGACCTCTACTCCCTCATTTGCTAGCTATTGTACAAGTAGAAGAAAGCACGTCAATTTCTCTGATGTAAAAGTACTTGAGTATTATTGTTTTTATTATTCCTCCAAAAGTATTTTGCAGAGAATCACTCACTGTGTTTGGTTAGGTTGGTTTTTTTGGGGGGTGGGGTTTTTTTGTTTGTTTGTTTGTTTTTTGTTGTGTTTTTTTTTCATGTCTAACTGTCTTTTAATTCCTTCTTTTTGGTTCTTCCTGTTCAAGGTGAAATTTAAATATGCTTATCTTATAATGGAAATAGAATGTCAAAGGATGAATAAAACACTGGAAACTCAATCTTACAGCATATAGTTGTCTTGTCTGGATTTTAAACATTTGTTTCTTTCCTTTGCAGAATGCTGCCTTTTTATATGGCCTTGGTTTGGTCTACTTCCATTACAATGCCTTTCAATGGTAAGTTGAAATAAAAAGTTTATCATCTTACTGGACTAGGCATGGCTGAAGCTAAGGAGGCAGAAAGTGACGACTGACTGAAGGTTTGGAACAATAAAATGGGATTTCTCTTCCCTCCCTCAGAAAATTATTAATTTAACAGTAGTCTCTATGAATCTGTAAGACAAAGATTTGTGCTTTCCTCAAGATAATGTCGATAAGCTTTTATTCTTCAAATTCAGATCAGTTGGTTGAATCATGAGCTCAGAGCCTGTTTTTTTTTTTTTTTATCTTGCAACTTACAGCTTTCTGTATTGATAATTGTGAAATTAATGCCATGTACTGTATGTGGCATGCAATTCTGTCACATTCTAATTAACAAGAGAAGAACAGAACAGTTTTCAGAAAACCTGAAATTCCACTATTTTAACATTGTGATCAATGTTAGTTGAATTTCGCCAAGTTTCAGAATGTTCTTGTTCTTGTGCAGGCTTGGCTCCATCATTTAACATTCAAGAGTATTTTGTGCACCAGTTCTTCTTACAAGGGGTGTCTTGTTGCAGTTTGCACTGTGAAAATGGTAGAAAACTGTAAGATAAAATTAAATAAGACGAAGTAGTGAGGTTTAGAGTAGTTGGTTTTTTTGAAAGACGACTTGTTCAACATAGACATTTGCCATCAGCAAATCATGCTTTTTAGCACCTTCCTGTGAATGGAGCAACAAAGTCAGGTGATTGTGAGGCCCAAGTATTAATAAGTTAGAGCTTTTCATTAATTTGTATTTTTCTTCTATGCTTTTAAGTGAGCTTGCTGAGAACATGAGTATAAATTGATGCCTTAACTTAGTGTCTTAACTACATATAGAGCTTTAAGTTAAGATTGTATAGAATAATCATATTTGCCATTTCATTCATACAACAAAGTTATGTATAGTGTGGTATTAAGGAAGTTATGTATCATTAGTGTGTTGGGTAGAATTTTTAGAGGAAGACAATCTAATGCAGATAAAATCTTACACCTTTGTGTGTGTGGTGTTTCTTGTTGTTTTAAATCCCTTTGAGTGCTTCCCTCCCTCCCCCTTACTATGTTTTCTTGGGGCAAGTAGAATGGGATGTGTCTGGTTGTGGGTGTTTAGGTGTGACAAAATCATAATAAACCTGGAGGTGGTAGGAAGTAATTTACAACAGATATGTTCTTTGTAGATATTAATCCTCCACAGGACACTCTTGCAGATGGGGAGGAGAATCCTGCTTCTTTCAGAGTGAAATGCTACTCAAACTGTCTTATTTCCTGCTGCAGCTGTTCCATCAATTTATGTTCATAGAGTACACAAATCTGCATATTTCAGATAGGTAGAGGAAACCTGTAGACTGTTTAAGGTCTTGTGCTTCATCCATGAACTTTTTTTTATCCACACCACTTCAGACATTAATAGCTTTTAATGAGAGGCATTTACGTAATCCTCCTAAAAGGAAGGGGTGAGGAAGTGCTTGAAGTTTTTTCATGTCTTGTGTAAATAGGGATAATAAAAAGGCAAGTGAGAATAAGGTCAAGTTTAGGATTCTTGTTAATATTTTTACATTATTTTTTACATTTTCCAGCATTCATAATAAGAAGTGTTGGATTGGCTCCAAGACACACATGCAATTCCCTGTAATTCAATATTGTACGCTTCTCTGTATACTAAAGCAGCATTACAGCGTTATCTTAGGTACTAAATCTTAGCAGATTTTGTTTGATTATTCTTGTAAGAACTGAAAGTTCTCAACGTATATACAAATGTTGCAATAGTGTGATCAGACCAAAGATATTTAATGCAGTTGTTATAGTAAGTTTTGACATAAGGGAGTAGCTCCGTAAATTGAATCAAGTATAGTAAAATAGGTCTTACAGATCTTAGATTTTGATACTCTGTTCTTTTACACCATATATCATCAAGCAATAAGAAAAGTGGTTGCCTGATTTCCCCTGTTGTTTCTCTGTTTCTCAAGTGGGGTAGAACACCAGTAGAGTAGAGATAGCTGAGATATTCACATAACTTGAATAATTTCATATCCTCCTTAGTTGTCTTTTAGATTGAACACGTAGAGAATTTCAGTTCATCAAAGACTACCCTTCATTTCTGTGCAATAGCTGCATCCAAGTGTAGTGGCTTGGATGCCAAATTTTCTCTTTTACTTCAGTAAGGATTCTGAATCTGTCTGGTCTGTCATCTGCTGATTCATACTTGAGTCCCATCAAGAAAAATGGTGGCATCCAAGCTCCGCAATTGTGTCCTGAAACTAGCTTTAGCACCCTCTTTGGATCCCAGTGTACTAACTGTGGTGCTCCAAGGCCAGCCTGCAGTTTTTCAGTGGCTGTTTTGCAAATTGCTGGACAGTGTGTGAGAAAGACACCCTGTTCCTCAGAAACACCTTACAGGAGACTTGAGACTGGTTACCCTTATTGCCCCATTTAGCATGCCCTTCTGCTCCTCAGTCCAAGGATCCCTTATCAGCTATAGAAGTTAAGTGTTATGTAAAACTCAGTCCTTCAGTATTGATGCTTTTTTGGGACACAGTCCTGAAAAAAGCCAAAGACTAATGCAAGAGGTAATCCAGACCCTTTTCAACATGCTCGTCATGGCTAAAGATGCAGACTGCCTGAGGAAAATCTGTTATCTCTGACTGGAACTTCTTGGCCCTTCTACAGCCATCCTTGCCAAAGGAGAAGCACTGACATCATCTATTTAGTATCAAGCAGTAACTAGAACCACCGTCTCTGCTTGTGGCTCCCTTAAAGTAACCTCACAGACGGCTCATTGTTTGCACTGCTGTATCCTGGCACTTCTGTAAGCCAGGGTGTTCTGTACACTGGAATTTCTCCTGTTAGCATAAGTTTGACTCCATGAAACAGGGATATGGAAGTTCAGCAAAAAAAGCTTTTTTCCCCCTCTTCAACTCTGATTCAAAATTGTATCTTGACATCAAGAAGGCAGCTGCAGTCTTTCATTATTCTTATCTAATGCAGATGAAGACATTTAATGGACAAGAGGGAGAAAACATACACAACCTCCACTGGGAGAGTGCAGCACCTCCACCTTCAACATAAAAGCACTGAGCAGGCTCTTCACATCCCATCTCTGCTGCTGCTGAATTCCACAACCCTCCAAAGGCCAAGCTGACCACAGAAGGAAGCCCTCAGTTGTTATCTGTGGTACTGCATCTCATCTCTTAGTCACAGTTCAGGCCTCCAGGCACTTAAGAATCACTTTTCTCCCAGAAGTCCTTTGAAGGTTTCAGTGAGGCATGGGCATTCTTTTTCAGGTACCTACAGGAAAACCCACAAAACTTAAAATCATCTGGGAGATGGCCTTTGTGCCAATCAGATTGGACCCTTTACTTGAGCTGAAGGAGTCTGGTCTCTCTCTTGCTCTCTCATTCTCTTTCATCTTTTTCCAGAGAATGAAATTTTGCTCTTCTCGCAGTCATCCTAAAGTAGTAAAGCAGCTGTTTAAACTGCTTGCAAAGTACACATGTCTATAGGGGAATGTTAACGTTTTTCCAGTAGTCTTATGCACCAACCTTCAGTATTGTACACCTTGTTCAGTGGTTGCTGTTTGCCTAGGAGAGTGGGAGAGTCCTATGCTTTCAAGGTCCATTCTTGCCCTTCTTTGCTTCTGCTATCAATACAGAATTTTTTTTATGTTCAAGGACAAGCTGTTAGTTATACAGTAAGATTTGTCCTTGAGGCGTTATTGGGTTTTTTTTCCAGCAGGGCCTGATCCTTCAATTGGTTCTCAAGCTGTTTGTGTCAGTTGTTGGCAAATCCAAGGAACTGTGCTCTTTCATACAAAGAGTAGTTGAGTGGGTAGCGGGGTGTGTAGTAATGCAAACCGGGTAGCGAGGACCTCCTTCACTAGTGTGGGAACATGCCACTTGTCATACAGACAGCAACCACTGGACTACTTCATCAAATGCGATGTCTGCTCTGCACAGACATCTGTCTGGTTGGTGCTATTGTGGAGGGTGCAAAGCATTTGATGAAATAGTCCAGTGGTTGTGCTTTTCATGAAAGGCTCTGAGATTCACACAACTGGCAGTGCCATTGTACTGGTAATTGGCAGTCTGTGGAGTTCCTGCTTTGGAAACACCTGCAATGGAAAGTCCATGAGGGATATAATTTGAGAGTAGAAAAACAGCTTGCTTGCCAATAACTTGTGATCTTCAAGCTGTACATCTGTATTGGTGCTTCTTTCCCTGTTTTGTCAGAGTCCTTTCAGCTGGTCTGGTGTTTGTAGTTCTCTTCATAAGAAGGACAGAATTTAAACACGAAATGTGTGGATAACTGCTTTGTCAAATATTTCTCAGGTTTCAGGTGGCTGAGTCTATATATGTGTTTTTTAGATATGTAAAATGGGAATGTTCATTTAGATTACACATACTAATTGTAATTAACCATTAACAAAGCAGCAATTAACTTTCTCTTTTGTCTTATCTTTCTGTGATTGTTTATCAAACCATTTGTTGGACTGAAGAAAACGCATATTTGCTAATGCTGGAAAAGACCTCCTCTCAGCCGCTGTTCTAGAGAAATGCTTAAAGACTTTGTTGTTCAAAATATTTAACCATTCAACCATTACAGCTCCTCTGTCCATAGGGCTCTATCTAAAGACTGTATAAGTATTAAAATTTCAGTGTCCTCACTACTGCTCTGTACATACATTTTATGTTCAACTGTGATTGAGTTTCAAATACAAATTTGTCCATCATAGCCTCGCATCATTTTTATTAGTGAGGCTATGAAATTGCATGAGGCTTAGAATAGGTGATCAGAAAATTGAAAGAGGATAATAAGAAAGTTTCACTCAAACTGCATCAAGTATTTTTTTCTGATACATTAAAATAATGTTACGTTCTTTCATTTTGTAGGTTTATTCTCATTTTCATGTTGGTTTTTTTTTTGTTTGAAACATAGAAGTGTTAATTTTTGAATAGTTAGATCGATGCAATTTTGTTACAGTCTTTTGCCTAGTTCGAAGC